GAGAGAGAGAGAGAGAGAGAGAGAGAGAGAGAGAGAGAGACAAGTCGAACGTTTATTTAACGGCGTGGAACTAGTCGTAGGTATGGTTAGTGTCGCTGCTGGTGGGAGGTCGCGTTATGCTCTCGCTGCTTTTCTTCGATTCTACGCATATTTCGGGTATGGTGTATATGAACAAGGGGAAGACGGATAAAATTAATATTACTTTTAAGGAGAGAAAATGAATGTCGATAGGCATAAGCAGAACGGATAATAGCACCTAGGCATGCTATAAAAAATCAATATGGATATATGTACATGTTCTTTATACCTGCGTTTTTGAAACGATCGAGTTCCGTAGACATTAGTTATAATTATGATAGGACTGTTCTTTGGATTGAATTAAGTTGAGAGAGGAGGTAAATCGGTATGATTGCCAGTTCCATTCGCACGATTGCTTACAATCGGGCTGGTTACATGGCAGCAGAATGCGCGTTTCAGCTGCGCACGAGTTGGTTGTGAGAGCAACACCGTTTTCCTGCAACGTCGAATAGCCCTGTGGCGAGAAGAGGTCAGCGGAAGCGTCAAACAACTTGTTGGAGACGCGGTCGACCCATGTCTTGTAACAATGCTCGATTGATAGTATTGTAAACAACGTAATTGCCTTCTGGACGAGTTTTTTTTTCACTTTTATACGCCGACACAATTTTTCACTAATATACAATGAGCGACAATACGTCGTAGCGTTTCATTGGTGGAGCATGTTCAAAGAATTGGTAAAATAGTTTGCTTGAACAGGTAAACTAAAATGGCAGATCAGGGATGGAAAATGGGCGACGAGATGGAACGGGGTGGGAGAGGTCAGCATCGAGCGATAATCGTTCAGGAATAATTTTGGTTCGTATCGAATCAATGCAAGGGTCGAGGTACGCCAAGTAGGTCGCCACAAATCCCATTGCTGCCAACGCGACAAACCAGCCTGTGCAGCGCTGCACACTCGCGCGCGTTCTACTCCACGGCGATCCCGCGCGGAAGCTCGTTAACTTTGCAACTGTTGGAAAGACCGCGGCGAAATTGCAGCCAGATCTCAGTAATATCGTTCACAGCTGTTTCGCTAAAACTGGCCAATTAATCCTTAAGTTTTGGAAAAGGAATTATCATACTGTCGCAATTTCAAGTGTCATATGCCTTTTTGCATCGAGTTACGTACGGAATAGGTTATCTTCCATGATACTTATTTATCGTATAAGGGTTTCGGATAACCTTGAACAGATGTTTATCGATATTGTATTTCTAGGAAATCGTCGCAATGCTGCATGCAAATGAGAATTTGACTGTTTGGACAACGCTATATCAACGTGCTATTCCGAAGGATAATTAAATATTTTATAAAATCGCATCTCGTTATCATGGGATGTAAATTACATTTTGTGAAAGTGCATTGCGGAACATTTATTAGCCAGTTCGCAATGCCACGCGTAACTGTTGAAACGAGGTTTATATTTAGCTACGGGAATATAGTTTTGTTTCTGTTACAAGGTACAGTTGGTTCTGGCAGTTTCCCTGATTTCGTGCCATCTGAAATAATACTACATCCTAGTGGTTCTCAGTGCATTCATTTCGTAGAAAAATGCATCAGGAGATTCGAAGTGGAAGGATTGAAACTAAATAGAGTTGAAAACCATCAACATGCTAGTGGATTTCGCAAGATTTGGTTAAAATTAAATCCAACATAGCAGGGAATGGAGTGCATAACCTCGGTTAACAGACGCCTGCGTGGTCGCGCGATGAAAGCTGAATCTCTGCCATTGGCGTTTTGACAGTCCCGATAACGTCATTACTCTGCAACCAGTCACGTGACGGTGATGCAGTTGTGTAATGTACGATAGCTTTTCTCGAATCGACCACGACACCCAACGAATTGACGAATTGTGGATTAAATTCGATTCCATGCAGCAAGTAGATCCAGACGTCCGAACCAGACCGTGATGGACTTTACTATATAGAAATACACGTTGCCGGTTATTAATGGAAGGTCGCATCAATTATAGAAAACCACGTGATTATATTTCCCATTTAGTCTACGAATTATATGTTTCAGGATGAATACTTTACATTATGATGTCGAGTGTTGCAATTTTCTCTTCACAATTATAATTAGATGCAGTTTTTTATATTGGCTTATTCCTAAAAAGCCTCGTCCAATTAACGCAACCTCTTTTGAGAATGCGGGGACAAAAGCCTGGGAAACGACCATACGGCCGTTGATGGTTTTCAGTAGTAGCAGCACGTGCCACTGACAATGAGTGCAGTAGAAAAGGTAGCGTGCGCATCGAACAAACTGCCTCCTATTCACGCATTCGTCACGTGATCCTGACTCCAGTTTCGTTCACCGTGGAATTTTTCATTTTACGAGACCTATAAATTGACATTTTAACGACTAATGTCATTTGTTATGTTGTAAATAAACATGACATTAGGTTTGCAAATTTCAAAAAAGTAACAATACAAAATTGTCTTTGAAATTGATGGATTAAGGTCTTGATTATTTAAATATATAGTGATATGATAGGAGATACTATGCACTGTTCTTCGTATTGTTTCCATATAAAAAAGAACGATACAACCGGTTCTTCTTTGCATTGCAAATCACGTTGAATTATTTATTTATTATGTTAACCCTGAGTCATCTGAGACAAATCAAATCGTTATATTGATTTTTACAAAAATGCTAATTTTAAACTACATGCAAGTAGAAACTGTGTTATTAACGAGCTATATTTCCAACTAAAATTACTTATAACGATATAACAATTTCTTTATTATATATTTAATATAATATACAATAATATATAATAATTTTTTACATATCTGTTTATATATTGTAAATATACAATGTGACAATTCATTTTACTTAATATTTAAGTACATAACAATCATATAGAAAAAGCGGGAATGTTGTTATTTATTATTACCGCTTCACACTCTAAATGAAAAGCGGAATTTCATTTTTCCCTTGATTGTACTTTCGCGACTTTCCTAAAATTGCACGGAAGAAGGATAGGCGCGAGTAAGAGGATCCATGCACCTAACTTTACCTCGCACAGATCGTGTCCCTTCTCCCGCGCATTTGAAAGTATTTCCATATGATTTGAACACGTTTCGCTGGTTACGTTATATTTTCTCTCTTATCGATACTTGCACGAAGCGATTTAAGCTCAGCGATAATTTCTGTCGCCGCGACTGGCCAGTGCCTCGTATTTTTATATTCCATCGGCTGTTTATATCGATGTAGCTCGAGTCCGATCGAGAAAATTGATAATACTAATTTATTAGAAACGCACGACGCACACACGCAGCGGGTAGAACACGCAGGCACACTTGGCGCGAGTCCAGCCACACGTGCGGACTTGACACGAGCTGGCGAATGTTTATTGTACGGATCGTAACATTTCTCCGAAGTATTTTCCTGCCACTTCCGAAATCGAATGCAACGACCGCGCGGTTCGTTGCGTTTCCGTTTCCTAGGTTAAACGGATACCCATGGTACTCGTAACGCGATAAAATGTGCAATACGAAGTGAATCATCGCCGTTCGTACAAGGAATAGAAAATATGTAGATACATCCTGCGTATTGCGTCGTTTCCTTCGCAGCTGTTGAACGTAGCGACATTTTAGTAATGGCGGATACTCCGCTAGACAACGATGGAGTGTTTTCTCTTTCCTGCGCATGTTTGCATAATTTCCTGTCAACGCATATAACAAATTTGAACTTTTGTCGACGATCGTCGACGAATGATGTTGCTGATATATGACAAAGGGCATAGCAATTAAGCCTAATTTCGGTCTAATCTAAATTGATTTTATCGCGCGATTCCGAACCGGTTCGCTGGCGAAGGACATCGTTACGCGAGCAAGAATTATCACTTCTATTTGTTTTCCTGTCCGTCTTAATCTTACCATCGTAATTAAATATTTGAGATATTAAATACCAAGCGTTTGCTTAGCCCCTTTCATCCCCTTTTCTCTCTACTGCTGGCGAGCACTCTAGGTTCGTACTCCTGAATCTATCATGATCTGGTTTAATAGACATTTACATGGATTCGTGGAAAATGATGACGATCTTTATTAGATAACCAGTGGTTTTATCGAACCGTTAGAAGGAAACGTTTTTCTGGATCAATAGCCTTGAATATTGCATCGCCACGTCATGGACGCTGAATAATTAATACTTTTTACGGGATGTTTGAGTTAGGGTATGTAGCCAGTCAGTGTGCATTTAAAAATCTATTTATGCTTATACCTTGCAGGTATTACTGTAAGAATTTTGATCGAATATTTTTTTGCAATTTTTCTGTAATTGAACACTTTGGAATTAATTTTTGGCTGGAAATAAATTAACGAGAGAATTTTCTGTTGTATGTTTTAGCTTATGGTTCAGAATCCTCAAATAGCGGAATCGAAGAGCGCGGTATCTCGTCAAGCTGCCGGACGAGGATAGCCATTCGATCCTAACTCGCTCGAGTTTCCAGTTGGCGTGATCGAAAGGCCTCCAAAACGTCGACCCCGTCGGTGATCAAGTTATCGGGGGGTGGAACAGGTGGGGGTGGGGAGCAATTGTCCCCAGGGTCTGGCCCACCTCCCCCGGTGTCCCCAGCCGAGCATACCGATGCTAACGAGAACGATGCCATCAAGACGAAACGCGTCGACAACTTCCCACAGAGCGCTGAAACCACCATGAGCTTCGTTTTGCAGTTGGGCACGGTAGAAACATCCCTCGAGAAGAAGAACTCCAGCAGTCAGCCGTCCTCGTCGCTAAATCAGGAGACGTCAAATGCCGTGGTTGCTGGAAGCGATGATGCCGGCAAGCCTCAGATTCTTCAATGTTTAGAGAACACCTCGGAGATTCCAACCGGTCATGTTATTTCCTTTTCCACTGTGAAATCAGTTAGCGTTACCTATCCAGTGGCGAAAGCCGTTAGGGAGGTTCAAAGAATCGCTGGTTCTCAGACGAATACCACCCAGGTGCTGTCAACACGTGTGATCTCGCAGAAATTGCCATCGTCTAGCCATCAGACTCAGTCCGCGCCTTTAACACTGAACGCATCTTCCAACGTTACCCATGTTCCGGTAAATGCTCAATCTTTGCCCTCACCAGGCAGCGGAGTGGCACATGTGTATCCTTTACAGCACTCGGTACCCACCCAGAATAAACAGCAAACTAGAAATCAGGTGGTCACCTGCGAAGGCAAACCGCAACAACAGACAACTACGATATCTAGTCTGCAGTCTAGCATGCCTTTAAAAGTTCAACCGGTCCCTTCGCAGCTGGTTGTGGGCAACAGCGCGGTTAGAGCCATCGCCACTGCGACTTCATTGCCTAATATTCAAAGGATACACGTGAAAGCACAGAATCTCGTAGGACAGACTCAGACAGTTAACTTGCAGAAGGTGAAGGGTGTGGCAAACGTCAGTCAAGGGGTAACCGTTCAAAGAAACTCCGTACCTAGGATACAAACCGTACAGAAAAGTCAGGTGTCGACTGGTACCGCTCAAACTACCCAGTTCGCTGTTAATCAAGTCACAAACAATGCCAATGTACAGAGAGCCCAACAAGGGAACTCGACGCTCCAAAAAGCACAAGCGAACGCCGCGAGCACACAGAAGGTAGCGCAGGTCTATAATAATCAGAAGGTACCATCGCAGATGTTAAGTAACCATCCGAATCATAAAGCACAATTACAGCAGATAACAAGTAATCAACAGCAAGGATTACAAAAGTTACAGGTTCAGTCACAAAAGACGGTAACAACCGTGCCTAGACAACAGTCAAACTCAGCGGTGAATAATATTCAGAAACCTAGCAATTCTGTAGCTGGTATACAGAAGGTACAAGTAGTGGGACAAGTACAATGTCAGCAGCAGTTACCGCAGGTCCAAAAGCATGTGCAACAGGTTCAGCCGTCGCAACATCAAAGATCTCAGTCTACAGCGGCTTTACAAAAGTCCCAGACTGTGGCCACAGTTAATACCAGTAGGGTACAATCGATCGCGAACGTTTGCAAAAGCAATAGCGTTCCAAATATCAGCAAAACACCACAGAACGCCAACTTATTAGCCGTGAACAAGCAGCCAGTGATCTCACAACCACAGCAGTCACAGCAAGTACATACCCAAAATTCGTCTCAGTTGCAACAACAATTGCTACAACAAACTTCGCAAGCGCAACAATCGCAGCAGCAAACGGTACAAAAGCAACACCCACAACAACAGCAAGCGAACGCAAATCCACAAACACAGAGAAGTCACAGTATTACAAATGTCCACCAAAAGGTCGCGACTATTGCGACAATTCCCAATAATCAACGAACTCAAGTACTAAATTCTAAGATGCAGCAGCAGCAGATGGTCATGAGAGTGGGTGTACCAAAGAATCAAGCGCAAAATTTACAGCAAAATAATTTGAAAAATGTATCTCAGAAGATTGCAAATACCGTAAAAACTTCAAATTCGCAGAATGTTGTGCAGCAATCATTGCATAGAAACACAAATGCCCAGCCAGTGAAAATAATCCAACAACAGCAAAATGTGATAGGACCGCAGAACGCTCAAAAACAGCCTGGATGCATAAAAACGATACCCCCTCAAAAACCAGCCCAAAGAAACCATACACAAAAAGTAGCCGGTATTAAGACTTCTTTAAATACAAACGTGGCTGCAGTGAAAAGTCAAGGACCCACAACTGCAGTCGCACAAAAAGCAAGCATCAAAACGTTGCTCCCTCAACAGACTGTTGCGACGAACATGTTAATGCATAAAAATCAACCGATTAAAATACAACAAACCATGCAGCAGAAACAGATTATCACAACATCACAATTTCCCCCACAAATTCGGCAACAGTCTGGACAAGTGAAAACATTATTACCAGTAACTAGCATGGAACCTCGCAAGGATGTTGAAAACAAGTTAGTATCTACTTCCGATTGTTTGATGTATACCTATGCCTTTCACTATAATTTATCGCGTTTTGATTCCTATTCGAGAGCGGAAAATAAACGTGTTTAAAGTATTCGGGAAACAAGTGATTAGTTTCTGACTATTTTGTCGTTGCATTCTGCATCTTTAAACATTTTTGAATAAAGTTTATAGATAACTAAATAACTAAATATGATATTTCCAGAACCGAATCTGAAACCCGCGAACCTAAGGAAGATGAACGTCAACAACGTCCTACAACGCCGGTCATAAGAATACCCCCTCCTTACGAGGTAACATATTGTAGTATATATAATATAAAGTTAAATAATGAATCTTCGAAATCATTTTTGCAGTGTGTACTGTTGCATTTTGTAGTCATGTATAGTTGTTCCTAGAACACTTAATTCTTGATTATAGTGTCTTCAGTACGTCCTACAGGATCACAATTATGGGGCACCACCACCTCGAACTCCATCACCTCCATCACCACCATCTCATTTAAAACAGCCCATTAATGGTGCCGGAAGTTCAACTGCAACTTCTCAGCATACTTACATTTATGGAAAAGGTACGCTTTACGAGTCAATAAGCCATATAATAACACGAATGGCGTGTATTTTTAATTCGACATTCTTATTCATTACAGTTGTTAGTAGTACTAACGTAGATGATGATGCAGCCAGTGCTATCAGTAGTGAAACAGGCAGAGACGTTGAACTCGAAGGCGAAGAAACTGAAACTGCTCCCGAGGGAGAAGGAGACGATGAGGATAGCGTTACTAGATGTATATGGTAAGTACCTATACTAGAAATTATAACAAATTTTTAAAAGTGTTTAACTAAAACTATATTTACTTTTAGTGAATTTGAACATGACGATGGATACATGATCTGCTGTGATCGTTGTTTGTAAGTACAAGTAAAATTTTCAAAACGTTTGATAGAACATGATACAGTACTGACAAATATAAATATATGTGATTCTAGGGTTTGGCAACATGTTGACTGTATGGGTATAGATCGTTCTAACATTCCTGACGAGTACCTCTGTGAAATTTGTCGACCGCGACGTGTAGATAGACAAAGAGCACGTGCTTTACAAATGCGTAAGCGCGAGGAATTGCTAAATTCAGATACATCGTCTGATACATCATCTACCAGTTCAGCAGACACTGATGTCGGTATGAACACGATTCCAAAGAAAAGAACTTTACAACAACAAATTCCTCGTCGAAAATCCGAACCACCGCAAGTAAGACGTCTGAACAACAATAACAACAACAATAATAATAACGTCGCAAAAAGACAGAGGAGAGATTCTCATCCAAGACAATCCAGTGCTGTACGTAAAAAAGAAGTTACAAAACGAGGCCCAGGCAAACGTAAAGCGAAACGGAGAATGAGTTTGGAGGATAAAGAAGAGGAAACTCAAGATACATGGAGTTCCAATGTTGCTCCACTAAGACAATGGATCGAACGTTATGAGGAAGCTGTAACAAATCACTATAGTCCGGAATTGAGAGCCAGAATATCATCTATCAAAGTGAATGGTACACATAGCGACTTGAGGCAGAGTAATATGAATGTCATTGCCACCGGAAAATGTAGACTCAACGTACATAGTAACAACGTTAGGGTAAGTATAATTATCTTTTATGACGAAAAATAATTTTTATTAGTAAGTTTCAAAGATTATTGTTTGTTATATAGTTTTTGGTGGCAACTATGTATCTCCCTCCAAATACACCTGTCGTGGAATTACGAGGAAAATATATGCTAAGTACACAACATCGACCGTCTTATCCTCAAGGAAGACAGCACACTCAGAGGCCTGGACCCTTTGTATTCTTTTATCGGTTACCACGAGACGGAACAGAGGTCTGTGTAGACACTAGAACGTACGGAAATGATGCTAGATTTGTGCGACGTAGTTGTAAACCTAACGCGGAAGTGAAACATTGTATAGAGAAAGGAACATTACATTTGTATATTGTGACTACAACCGCGATCGAGAAAAATGCTGAAATTACGATTAGACATGAACAACATGATCTTCTGTTGTCGCCTAATCCAAATGGACCCATGATGCCTATCGTCTGTGCGTGTAATAATCCAAGAGAATGTCAAATAGTGTCATTAAATCAATTAAACAGAAGAGGAAGTAATGGAGCATTAGCGGAAAATGCTGATGGTCGAGAACGAAGACGAAGGGGTAGACGAAATACAATTTGTGAGGATAGTGATTCTTCAATTGTAATGCCTAATAATACTATCATCACGCAACCCACTCCGCCACCGACAACAGTATCATCAGTATCCGCACCTCCGAGAAGGACAGTTACAACCACCATAGCAAATACTGGTAACCATTCGGTACGTCAAGCACCTAAGGAAGAACCGCCAACATTAGTTCAACAACCGCAGACTTCTCCAAATTTAAATCAAACTATACCATCAGAATCTAAGAAAGACAAAAAGAAGATGACGAGAGAAGAGAGAAAAATGGAAGCCATTATGAAAGCTTTTGAAAGGCTAGAGAAAGCGGAGCAAAGGAAACAAGAAGTTCAAGCCCGGAATGCACAACGGAAGGAATCTGGTGGTACGCATAGCGATAATGAGGATAGCCATAGTGTTACAATGCAATCTAAACAGAAACAGCAGAATTCCGACAGACCTTTAAGGCGAAAGCGAAGAAAAGGTAGAGCAAGGACGACCAGTACTTCACAATCACAAGGTAGTAGTCGAAGAACGAGATTGAATTCCGCAGATTCTGATGAATCGTCTGGAGAAGAGAGCACCTCAATGCAATCGCCACCTCTTTTGAGCCAAAATCATTCACAGAATCGGGATGCTCCCTATTCTTCCCATCTGCATACACCTGCTAAGAACGCAAACGAAACTGTGGCTATAGCTGCTCATCAAGGAATTCCCACAGCTGCTGGTTTACTGCTGGCTCTAGCGAATTCCAATGCTCCTGGACCTAGTTCGCCTCCTTTACAGCAACCAACACCAGTTAAAAGTCCAACCTGTGACAGTGGTGCAAGCAGCAGTTCTCAGAGTTCAACACCATCCACTCCCTTGTCCTCTGCTTGCTTGTTAGTCGCAGCAGCCGTTGGTCCTCTAGCTCCTGGTTTTAAATTCCCGAAAACCAAGAAGGTCCTAATGAATGAATGGCTAAAAGAATCGCCTGATCCACCGCAAAGCAACATATCTCAGATGTCACCATTACCAGCGTTACCACCGGCTTCTGCATCGAATTCGATAAATCCTCTTTGCAGGTCTTCAGATTTTTCTTTACCAACAGACTCATCCGCAGAGTTTTTAACACAAAGTTATGCAGCCAAAAGTCTAGCAACTCTTGTACAAGCTGCTAACTCTGTCTCTGGAATATGTGATTCGCCGCCACAGCGTAGACAAGCGACCAGTGGGAATTCAGTATGTCCTGTCTCCACGGGATCTGCCAAGAAAAGATGGTTACGACAAGCCATTTCTGAAGAATGCGATTCACCGAATAGTCGACCAGAAAGTCCACCAGCCAGTGAAATGGTAGCTCCGCCAAAGAAAAGAAGAATAGCTAGAGAAAGTTTATCTTCGGACAATTACACTCCACCCACAACACCTACCATGTTGGTTCCTGAATCTACTGCGAATAATAGATCTTTGTGTCCTGCTGAGGTAAGGTGCAATATAATTGAATATTGAAGTACTTTTTTGTAATAGATTTATATAGAAAATTGAGCTTTTAATCGCATTTTCTTTTTCAGGACGATTTTATCGAGCAGCTGCAGTCGCCATTAGTTGAGCAGAATGATGAACGCCATATAACAACAGAGACTGTAAAACAAGAGGTCACTTCACACGAACATGTTAACTCAGATGCGGTCGTGCGACAAAAGCTTTCTATAGATATTCCACCGGATTTTCACGTTAAAACCGTTAAATCTGAGAAACATATAGCAGTGACACAGATGGACACTTCGTTAGTGAAAGAAGAAAATGTTGAGATAAAAAAAGAAGATGATGAAATGAATTGTGATACATATATGCATTTGGAATCAAAGTCTTTTATTAAAGACGAATTGCGACTTGTAAAAAATGAAATAGTTGACCATTTCAGAGATAAAAGCAAAAAGGAACATATTATAAAGAAAGAGGAGAACTTAGAGACAGAAAAGGGAACAGTTGAAATAGTCGATCAAAATGAGGCAGATACAGAAATGGAAGACTTCAGTTCTCCAATCGCTGTTATGGAATCAGATGCAATTCTGAAACAACGAGTGGCTGAGATGAGACTCGAATTCGGAGGCAGTATAAGTGAGATGGTTAAAGTTGAAGATGACAAGTGTGACGACGACAAACAGTCTGAAGACGTGAAGTGTGAAGTGAAGTCCGATGATAATATGTCGATTGACGAGTTCGATGTTGAAGCTCAAATGAAGAAAATCACTGGTGACGATGGAAATGACTACAAGGAAAAAGTAGATACTAGTTCAGAAAAAGATAAAAGTATGGATGGTATCGAAGGTTTGATGGAAAGCTCCAAGGAAGATTCAGAGTCTGAGGATAAGGAGATGGATGATGTGAAATACGAACCTTCATTTAAAACATTCAACTTAAATCACGAGGAGAAATTATTTAAGGAGTTCGAAAGCAAAGCTGAATCAGAATGTACCATTGAGAATAGCATTAAAGAGATCGAACAAAGCCAGGAATCTCAGAAAATTGAACAACCGTCCGCGTTTATTACTTCATCGGAAGAATCCATTTTCGAGTCTGCATCCTCTAATATGGATACAGAATCCATTGTAGAACCGCCAAAGATTTTTCATTCCATTCCACCACTAAGTGAACGTATTCGCAAGAAAACAGAAGCAACAAGTGCTCCAAAAAGCCAACTGAATTTCGAAGCAGCTATAATAGAATCCAGCATTAACATGGAAACAGATGATGAATCCAAAAATGGTGAACAAAAATCTATGCTTTCAACGGCATTAAGGGAATTGTTGGAAGCCAAATTGGATGATTTGACACCCGATGACGCTAAAGAAGAAATCGTCGAGGAAAATAACGCGCCATACATCGAGTTGAAGTCTGAAATTTTAGAGCAAAATATAGAAATACAAGAGTCTGTATTAAAACCTACCCCTCAAAATGTTAATGATGAAGAAGTTCCAGTAAAAGAAGAAGAAAGTCCGCCTAAAGAAGTCAAGCGATTGAAGGATCCGAGAACTGTCGTTCCAAATACTATGCCAGCTCCTGCATTTAAACCTGAAGGAATTCCTCCTGTTAAACGAAAGGTTAGAATAACTATAGAATAAAATTCTTGCTTCGAAATTATACAATCATGTGTTTCTTGGCTATTCAAAAGTAATTTACTGTTCCAGTTGTCCATATCAGAATACCGTAAACGCAAACAGCAATCGTCTGGCACGCCTCCAGAACCTGAACCATCAAGTGATACTTCTACAACAGATAAAGGAGGAGCTAGAGGTAGATCAGATAGCGCGAGCAGTGGAACTTCGTCGCTCAGTTCTGATGAGGAAGGTTCTAAAATCTCACTATCTCTCGATATACCAACCTTAACCGCATTACCACTTTTCATTAGCGCGGAAGGCGAGGAAAAAAAAGGTTAATATAAAAGATATTAAATAATTCAGAATATTCGTGATAAAAATAATACATTATTTTATCAAGATATTCTGATTGTTGATAGGTGGTGAGGAAGGAACAATTGGTTGGTCCGCTGCTCCAACTTTAGTTGAACGTCAAAGAGAAAACCTTACAGAAAGATTAAAACGAGAGTTTGGATTATTTCTCAGCGACGACGAAGAAGAAAGAGCTCGCAAACACGGTGAATATCCTGTACCATTCTTTATTTCTTTTTATTTATTCTTCCTTTTCATTCTGTCTATTATATACTAATATGATTATAAATTATTATAGGTCTAACAGCAGAGGCAATATTGAAAGCGCGTAAGTCATCTCCGCCTCATCCCACTGTGTCAAATACTCCACCAGGTTATCCGTTACCTCAGTTACCTCCTCAACCCTATATACCTCCTCCAGGATCCGCATCCATTCACTATCCTCAGTTTCAAGCTAAACCTTGTCCCGTTCAGTATCCGAACTTCACAGTGCCACAAAACACTTCACAACCAGTTTATGCGAATGCTGCGCCTCAAACCTCTACGAACAAGCAGGCACAACAATTTTTAGTACCTCAGGCGTCTCAGGCACCGCCAGGCTCAAATCCGTATCCTCCTCAGTTTATTCCACCATCTACCACAGCAGTATCGATCTCCAAGTACACGTCTGTGACACCGCCATCTGGAAATCAAATATATCCTGCGTCTGGCCAAACGCAGAAGCAGTTTTACAATCACCCGGCACCAAGGTCTTAACCCATATAAAAGGTAGCTCTGTCGAAAAGTTTTTAGCTGGGAAAATTTTTATTAGACTTGGTCGGATCGCGAGTTAACTCGTCGGTTTGTTTGAATAAACACGAGACTCGCGACTGGTCGCTTAATTCCATTAGATTAAAGTGTTAAGTTATCCTCCCTGGCCTGAAAAGGAAGGGGGTGAAACGAGATATTTTGAGTGGGACAGAAAACAAATTCACAGTCTCTTCTACCTTACGTCGTTCGTGTTTTAGCAAAAGGGTATTTAGATTATATAATAAAATGATAATTCGCGCACGCGACTAGCGGAGAAGAGATTCGTGATTCCAGGTGCTACACTGTTCTCGCTTGTATTAAAGACGTTATGCGTACACCGTTGACTGCGAAGGAAGAAACATAAGAAATATTAACACTTCTGATGGTTTCGGAGACGCACTCGATGGAATTCGTGTGGCCTAAAGTGATAATTAAGTATTTTGAACAAA